CTTTAAACCCAGTTGAGAAAATGTCTATCTATTCTTTTACATATTAAATAATAAACATTATTAATATAAAATATATAAAAATATTAATAATAAATAAGTACAGGTATCAACTCCAAATGACTCAAATTGTACTAGCTGCCTCACTGTGTTCCACTCATTATGTTCTGAGTTCAGTAGGGAAAAAAAAAGTCTAGTTAATTACAACTTAGTTTAACTAATCATTTAATTTTAAATAATTTAGAAATGTTGTATGTCTTCTCTTTTCCTTGGTCTAACATCAGTAGTTCATATGGGGTGAACGGTGGCAGCAGGGTAGGATACTGGTATAGTTTTGGCCATTGTCTCTTCATCCTGGGAATCAATCAAGTGTACTGCACCCATTTGATCTTGGGTCACAAGCCGACTTTCATGCTGATATCTGCTGAACTCTTATCTTCACAACTTTCATGAGATCTGTGTTGATCTGCTACTGCTTTCTCCAACCTCAGAACTACAAGGACACTTAGCTGTTTACAGCTTTGCTCTCATTCGTCCTGGTCTCTCTCTTTCATCCTCTTTCCCTATAACCTGTAAAACATGGCAGGGCAAGCATGTTCCAGGAAGAATTAGGTGTGAAAGCAAAAAATTGAAAACAGGTTAAAAATATGTCTATAATATGTTCAGTGGGCAAAACAACAAGTATCAGTAATTTCATTTTTATAATTGTATGCCTTTGTGTATAAATAGAAGAAAAGTTTGGAAAAACACGATACTAAATCCTATAGTAAAGGATGGTTTTCCTAAAGTCATTCATTTTATTTGTGCAAATATTTTTTCTACATGACCTATGATTAATATTTAATGGAAAGAAAAATCTCCTATTAATTGAAGTTAAAAAAAAGTAGAAGATGGAGATTGTTTGACCTAGATTCTCATTTGACTTCCATAATGTCACAATGTATAGGAGTGACCTTTGTCCTGATCAAACAGGACACTCTGCCTTTCCCTTCTGTTATCTGACCTCTCTTCCATGGAATCCTGCAGGTTTATGGGACTGTATTTCACATGAACCATGGAAACCCATTCAACCGAAAGGCTTTAGTAGACAAATGGCCTGATTTCAATACGGTGGTCATCCGCCCTCAGGAACAGGTAAGGTGCCAGGTGGTCATATTTTCTGTGTGCCCACTACGTATCTGGCAGCGTGTAAAACCTAGAGATACAGAAGTCCATCACGGTGATGTCAAACAAGTCCCCATTCTCAATAATGTTACATCCTGGAGGAAAAGACCGATAAACAGGAAGATTACAACTTAGTGTGAGATACGATGGAACAGAAATAGCTCAAGTAAAATTGATTTAACTTTTACTACCGAGGCTCCAGGAGGAGGCTTCAGAGTAATGATAGAGACACTTTTGGTTGGAGGTTTCATCTAAACTTGATTTTGTAGGTAAGTATATTTTTTGTCAGGCCAAGAATGGAAAGAATATGTTCTCACCAGAGATAATCAAAAGGGTGGGACTATGAAAATATGATAGAGCACAATGTGTCAGGTTAACTCTAAAGCACTAAGTTTCAATGCTAGAGTTTCCATATGCAGCTAAGGGAAAGACCTAAAATTAACAAAACTAAATAGTTAATATAATTCAAAGATAAAAATCCATATGCTTATTTTAAAATTTCCCAAAACTAGGGGATTAGGTGAAGCAAGATGGTGGAACAGGTGTCTCCAGCAACCATCCCCCTCTAGAAACACTCATTTGAATGACTATCTTTGCACAAAAGTACCTCCACCACAGCTAAGCCATTTTCATCTGTGTAAACATAACCTACAAGGTTTGCACAACAAACCCTCTTGACAATGCATTTTTCACAACATATCCCTATTGCTAAGTGATGTGTGATTGTACTTGGAAACATCTTGTACATAAGTACGAATAATTTTACCTCTAACTTAAAAAAACCAATGAAAAGTATTAAAAGAATACAAAATAAAAACAAAAAGAATATGAAAATACAGAGAAGACTGTCAGAACAGCACACAGGTAAGAGATCACACACCTCAGTTTAGGAAGATGGGGAACGTGCCTCCAATCCCCTACCTCGGATGCTATCTCCCCGCTTTATGAGTTTCAGTCCTATCCAATAGCCTTGGGGAGGGGACAGAGGCAGATCAGGAGCCACTGCCACCTCGTCAGGAACAAGTTTATGGAATTTATGACCCTGGAAGAGAGAGATCAAAAGATCCTGGAGTGTGTGATCTGTACGACGGACCTTGCTTATAGAGACCAGTTAGGCTTCTGCTGTGCATGCACATTACCTGGACTGTGTAGTTGACTGGTTGGTGAGAACCACCCTGTGCCCGTCCTGCATGAAGCCAGTTGACACAGTGCTACTTTCAACCTAGGAGGCTGACTGAGCCAGGGTCTCTCCTCTGACTTCCACTGAGCCATCATTTTGGGTGGTTCTGATCTTTTGTCACTGAGCCCAAAGAATCAGGGATTAGGATTTAAGATCGTGCATAAGTTTCCTAAAAATTCCTGGATGGCTGCAGATGTTGAGGAAAGTATGTAATATTTTAGGAACTTAGGAGAGAAAAGTACAGTGGTGTTTTTTATGTAAAGTCTTGACCCAGTGTTTAAAAATGTAACTGTAGTTGGATCTTGTTATTGCTTCAGTACACAGGAATTTTTTTAAAGTGTTACAGAAGCACTGTATGTTTAAATTGTGTGTGTTGAATATTAGAAAAAAGAGAGTGGTTATTTTTCCTAAATGAAATACCTTCTCCTCTCCACCCAAATTCTTTTCTGAAGTTACTAGTATTTAGGTCCAAGTTTTATTAAAAACTACATTCACTGGCACATACAAAAGAATAGTTTGAGGTTTATTTGTATAGTTCTTTTTTTCTATTAAAAATGGAATTCATAATCTTAGATTTTATTAATTTATTTATCTATCTATCTATGTATTTATTTAGGTCCTGGGGAATTGCGCTTTACCACTGAACCATATCCTCAACCAGTTTTTGTATTTTATTTAGAGACAGGGTCTTGTTGAGTTGCTTAGGGTCTCACTGAGTTACTGAGGCTGGCTTTGAACAAGCAATTCTCCTGTCTCAGCCTCCAGGGCCTCCAGGATTATAGGTGTGCACCACCGTGCCTGGCTACATATAATCTTAAGCAACAAAATTTGTCAGTAATGTCATAGCTGACTCATGAGTGAATTTTTTGTAGCATTTTCCAACTAATTTTTTTAAAGTTTTCTAACTCTACCCTCGTTGTGATAATATTTTCCTCTGTCTCCTTTTTCCAAATAATTTTATCTGTTGTTTAATACTTTGAAGGGATCTTTCTGAATAGGAGGCTTGTTTGTTTTTCTCAAAATACAAATTTAACTATGGTATTTTTCAAAGAAAGCATTTCCAGTATGATTTTATTACATATGGGTGGAAATATTAATCCCATTATCTTTATTAAATTTAATACTGTCATGTTCTTAGTCTGTGAGTTTTGCAAGTATTTGAATTGTATTTTTGCATCAGAAGTTTTCCTTCATTGCTTCTTTTTCTTTTTTGATCAGAATGATTGGAGTATAGAGTAATACTGTGTAAATGGTTGTATGTTTGATTTGAAATATCAATGTAACATAAGGGTAGAGAATAATATTGTTCTGGAATTTTTCATCACCAATTGAATATTTGAATCTCTGATCTTGATCTCATGATGTAAATGACTCAGAAATAATTCAATTGCACCAATAAAAAGAGCAATGTTTTGTTACTTAAAAAAATCAGCATTGCCATCACTAATTATAAGGAATGTGTTCTTTCTCCTTTTCCCAATGACAATAGGATATGACAGATGACCTTGATCAATACACCAATACTTACCAAGTCTACTCCAAGGATCCCCAGAACTGTCAGGAATTCCTTGGTTCTCCAGAAGTGATCAATTGGAAACAGCATTTGCAGATTCAGAGTAAGTGAGAGAAATGGACTCACCACTGTGTCCTGATCAAGTCCTGATCAGCTGACTCACCGCTGTGTCCTGATCAAGTCCCCAAGTGGTTCATACATCTCTCCTTCAAAGAACAGATCCTCACTTGCCATCAGTTTTTTGACCCTATACCTGTAAAGGTGCAAAAAATCCTCAAATATGGGAAAGAATAGGTTTCATTTGGACAACCAAAATGTAATTCCTATTATCCAGAATTTATGGCATCTTTCACAGATAACCCTTAGGCTTACTGGGCTTACCAGGTGTCAGAGCAGAGTTCCACCTCCCATTCCTGAAGTCAGAACAGCAATTCATTGTGCCGTAGAGAATCTCCCGGTATGCCCTCTGGAATCAGGCTGTCTAGGATGGTATCTGCCTAATAGTTTCCGTGACTCTAGCAAAGTGACTTCTTCTCCATAAGATTATATTCTTCACATATAAAAATGAGAGGAATAATGGTATGTACAGCACAGAGCACTAAAAAAAAAATAATAAACAAATAAACAAAAAATGAGATTGTGAATAAGAAGAGCTTAGTACAATACCAAGATGTGTCAGTTAATTTTTGCTGCATAAGTAAGCTCCTAAGTAAGTGAATCAACCATCTGAGCTGGGCTTTGCCAGGTAGTTTCTCTGCTGGTCTCTTCTAGGTATATCACACACCCTGAGTTGATGGGAGGTATGGTTGCTTTAGCCTCTTTTACATGTCTGAATGGTTATTCTGGCTGCCTGCAGTGCTGGTTTTGGGCTCTAGTGACATCATGATAGAAGCACGTGTCTCCTATAAGCCGGCCTAGGCTACTTTTATAATGTTGGTCTCCAGATAAACAAGATCCAAAAGAGAGGGAAAGCCCCAAGGACAAGTGCTTTAAGCCCTCTCTGCATTCAATTTGCTCTTTTCATTAGTAGATGCAAGTCACTTATTAAATGTCAGACACAGTGCAGGAGCGAACACTTCCAGGGAACTGATACCAGGAGATGAGCTCAAATGGTGTTATTATGGAAATAATCCATCACATTGGGAACATGGCTCAGTAGATGTTGGCTATTGTTTTTTTTTTTAATAACTCTTTGATTATCAAAACTACATGATTATATAGCCTAGAAAACTTTGTTCCCATCTTGATATCACCACTGACAACACGACCATGTATGAATTCGTCCCTGGACTTATTTTTATTTACATAAAACAGGAAGTTTTCAAAAATCCTAAAACTAGATGACCCTTCACATGGTGGCAACACCAAGCCCAGGACCATGGTTTTCTGACCCTAAATGTGACATTTCCTACTCCCGTGAAGAGCTTCACTCTCGAAGGGGTTTTCATCATTACTTCTCCCCATACACCCGTCTAGGTTGCCAGTCCAGCCTGAACGAGGCAATACAAAATCTTGCAGCTAAGAAATCTTTGAAAATCGAACGCTCAGAGAACATTCTCTTCATCGCCGCTGAGACCATCAAGAAACTAATCCCTTCCCTGCTGGATACAAAGACTTTATCACCTGGTGGTGGCAAGCCCAAGGCCATGTGAGTGTGATAAAATGCCAACTCTCCCTGCTCATTCCTCTGCCTCTCAGCAGGGTCCTGCCTTCTCGCCCTGCTTGCTCTCTTTCCTCGGAACAATCAGTGTTCCATAAAGTGGTAAGAATCATCTTTTAAAGAAGAGTAACTCAGACTACCTTCCTCCCCACCTCGAGTGAGTGAGTCCTGGGTCTGCTGCTGAGCTTGTTCTTCTTGCTCGCTTCCTCCGGCCACACCGGCCTCCTCTCTGTCCCCGGGCACCACAAGCTCTCCCTACTCTAGGACTTGCATTCGCTGTGTCCTCTTCTCCGTCTCTCCAGCTTGTGGAGGTAAGAACAAATGCACACCTTTATCCTCATGGGCTTTTCTTTCTCTCCATAGCAACCAAGAGAAGTTTAAAATCTCCTCCCTGGGTATTCCCCACGCTGCCTTGGTGAATCAATTCTGGCATTTTGGTGGCAATGAGAGAAGCCAGAAATTCATTGAGCGCTGTATCCGGACCTTCCCGAGCTCCTGTTTGCTGGGGCCTGAGGGGAACCCGGTGTCCTGGACATTGATGGACTACACTGGAGAAACGCGAATGGGAGGTACCCTGCCCGAGTACCGTACCCAGGGCCTCGTCACCTATGCTGTCTATATGCAGGCCCAGGAGATGGCCAAACGTGGGTTTCCCGTTTATTCCCACACAGTCAGGACCAACACAGCTATGCAAAAAATGAGCTACACCCTGCAACACATCCCCATGTCTTGTGCCTGGAACCAGTGGCTCTGTTCGCCGATGTGAAGCTGGCGCTGAACACAACTCGGTGTTGGGTGGGTCTGGAGTGAATGGCAGGAAGAAGGAAAGAATACACCGAACCAGCAGTCAGGGCTCCTGTTTGGGCTCTGCAGAAGGAGTGTGAAGGGTCGACAGGACTTTCCTGTCCCTGGGCTCAAATCACTCATGGACTTCCCTTAGGTTCCCCAGATAGAAGCAGAAAATGTCGCTGCTGTATTGAACCCCTGTGATTTCACACCGCATCCTTCATCAGCTACATGACGTTCCAAATTACTTTTTCTGGAACTCGCAACGAGTGGGTCGGAAGATCCTTGATGATATTTTCTGGCCGCTATGACTTATTTCTCTTTCTGTTTATGGCTTTTCCTTCAGCGATCAGCAAGTGGGCTTTCTTCATTCGATCTTTAGAGAGTAGCTTTTCCTCTGTTTGCTGCTTTACAGGTACATTAAATATATGCCACACAAATTATAGGGGCTGTTAGGCTAAACACAATGTACATGACATAGCAAGAAGAATTGTTAAGAAAAAAAAGACTAAGTCCTTTAACTTGTCCTCTCCCAGCTCCCACCCCAGGAAAAATGATCCAATGTGGCTTCCCAAACCCACTGAAACCATCAAGTAATAAAGCGATTTTTACCCTTGATTATACAAGTTTATGCAAAGTGGTTCATGATGGGGAGAGCACAGGATGAATGTAGGGAAAGTAGAAGATGGGAAGGCGGATCAAGACCCAGGGAGGTGGACATTTACTGAGAAGAGATAGGAGGGGAGGGGAATGGAGGGCAGCACAGATCCCTGCTATCTCTCTTGACCTTGGCCCACTACTACAGGATGGCGGAACTCTATGATGTTCAGGTTAATTGCCTCGTGGGAGAGTTCCCGTGGGTGGCAGCAACAGGAGAGATATTCTTCTAGGTTGGGACAGGTTTGCTGAGAGTCTCCTTTCTCACCCCTCAAGAGAAATAGCACTCCCCCCCACACACAACCACCCACCCCGCACTAGGCAGCAAAGAGAGCTCTGGAATGAGGGTGATCACCTGGATTAAGAACTTATTCCCTCAGGTATACCTAAACCCAAAATTAGTCTTTGACATTGGAGATGAAGCCCTTCCCCAGACCTACCCATCTCCAAAATAATGGCTAAGATTTAATTTTCTGGACAGTCAAGTTTAGAGCAGGGTTTTTCTGCATTTGCGCAATGGACATTTTGGGCTATCTAATATTTGTTGATTGTAGGATGCTAGCTGGATTCCTGACCTCTACCCACTAGATGCCAATAGCATCCTCCATCCCCCTTTTGGTCACTGAGAACATCTATCTCCACATATTGACAATGTCCCTGGAGGCAAAATTGCCTCTGGTTGAGAAAAGCTGTTTTAGAGAGTAGTTCCCAAACTTAAGAGTGCATCGTAACCACCTGGCATTATAGCTGGGGGGAGGCGCTGGTGCACACCCATAGTCCCAGTACTCAGGAAGTTGAGGCAGGAGCCTAAAAGTTCCAGGCTATCCTCTGCAGATAGAGAGATCCATCCACCAACCCCGTCCCCCCAAAAAACATTTCTGGGAAGCTTGTTAAAATGCAGACTGTAGGGACTCAGCCCCAGTTTCTTCTTGGAAAGAACCCCAGAATTTACATTTCTAATGAGTTTCCTGGTGATGCTGATGCTGTCAGTCCAGGGACCATGCTCTGAGAACCACTGGTTTACAAAAAAAAATAGTAGCATATGTCTTATTCCCTGGAACTGCAAATGAAAATTCATATCCCACTCAACTTAGTGTATTTTCTGGTGAAAATGTAAATCTGTGTACTATGAAATTGTAGCATTTTCTATACATTTGCCATTTTGATGACAAGAAATATCTCATCATACTGAATTTGGATCCTTGACTTAAGCCTGGTGAACTTCTAAAGTTTAGTTTTTTTGTGCCTTCTTTTCTTCACTATTTTTTCTTTGTTCTTTCATCCCTTCCACCCATCTTCTTCTTCTTTTTTTTTTAGTAGATTAAACCCAGGAGTGCTCTACCGCTGAGCTACATCCCCAGCTCTTTTTATTTTTGATATTAATCCAGGGTCTCTGCTATGGTTTAGATGTAGTATCCCCCGAAAGCTCACATGTGAGACAATGCAAGACGGTTTGGAGGAGAAATGATTGGGTTACAGTCTTAGCCTAATTAGTGAGTTGATCCCTGATGGGATTAACTAAAGTGGTAGGGTTTGGCTGGAGGAGATGGAAATTGGGGTGTGGCTTTGGTGTATATATTTGTATATATTTGCATCTCTGCTTCCTGATCACCATGATGTGAGCTGCTTCCTTCTCCCGCCATGATGTTCAGCCACACCTAGAGCCCTGAGGAATGGAGCCTGCCTTCTATGGACTAAGACCTCTGAAATCATAAGCCTTAAAATAAACTCTTCCTCCTCTATAATTGTGCTGGTTGGGTTCTTCAGTCACAGCGGTGAAAAAGCTGACTAAAACAGGCTCACTCATTTCTGAAGCTAGTGTCGAAATTGTGATCCTCCTGTCCCAGCCTCCTCAAGTCGCTGGGATTACAGGTGTGATCCACCATGCCTGACTTCTTCCTTCCTTCTGTTAAGGAAAATTCTCTGGTCTGGAATTGGCAAGGTCAAAGAGGGCACACATTCTCAGACCTCTTGATTTTCATTTGTAGAGTGCTCTTTATGCTGACAGCACAAAAATACATATAGATCTTTACAGTATTAATTATGTGCTACTAAATCTGTTCTATGCACTCAGAACACATCAATGTACCAAAAAAAATTTCTGTTGAGTTTATATTCTATAATAACTTATTGATATATTATGTTCATTAAAAATGAGGTCCAGCTGGTCTTGGTGATACACACTATAATCCCAGCACCAGGGGGAGGCTGAGGCAGGAGGATCATGAGTTCAAAGCCAGCCTCAGCAAAAGTGAGGTACTAAGAACTCAGTGAGACCCTGTCTCTAAATAAAATAAGACTGGTAATGTGGCTCTGTGGCCGAGTGCTCCTGAGTTCAATCCCCAGTACCAAAAAAAAAAAAAAAAATGAGGTCCAATATGATTTGATTTGCTACCAATACTTAAGGATGCCAAACAATACTTTCACCACTTCCTCATAAAACTTGTCGAATAGAAAACACTAGAAATTCTTTTTTAATAAAGGAAAAGAATGTCTTCAGTTATCTTATGTCCTGCATGGAAAACACTGACCTCGGGATGCTAAGAACTGCCAGCAAGGACATTCTCCTGGGTTGTTGGAGTGAGACCTGAGAGAGTTTTTATGTTGGAGAGATGTGTCACTGTCCTCCACATGTTCAAGGGCACATTTCCCATTCACATGGCTCAGCAAAGTGCAGCTCTCTAATTCTTTGTCTGGAGTCTCCTTCACGTCATTCCAGATCAGTTTCGTCTGCCTTCTGCCATCACCATAAGTACTTTGAAAAGTAACCTGGGGAACTCAACTTGTGGAAACTGGCTTTTCCTTATTTTACTTCTTTTCGTTTTTTCAGTGCCTTTGACAACAATAGGAAAGATTATAAGATTATATTTCTATATTTTAATTAGACATACCACCCCACTGTATTATGACCCTCATGAATAGTGTTGGTGTGAAGATAAACCAAAGCAAAACCAGGAGATTCAGCATTTGAGACTTTGACATTTAAAACACCTGCATTGCAGAGAGGAAAGGGGGAATGTTAACCACCGAGGGGAGACTGAAGAGCCACAGCTCAGCTGCTGTTGTTACTAGAAGGGTACAAACTAAGACGCCCCCTGCTCCCCCAAAATTCTCTGTGACCAATAAGGAAGTAGAGTGTGACATGGAAATAGTGAGAAGAGGCTCAGATGAGAAAACCCACCTTTGTGTATATATGCCACTTCTTTTTTTTATTCATTCATCCACTGAAGAACATTTTAGGTTGGTTCCACAGTTTAGCTATTGTGAATTGTGCTGCTATAAACATGATGTAGTCCTTTGGGTATAGACTCGGCAGAGGGATCAAATGGTGGTTCCATTCCCAGTTTTCCAAGGAATCTCCATAATGCTTCCCATATTGGCTGCACCAATATGCAGTCCCACCAATAGTGGGACTATTTTTCCCCACGTCCTCACCAACATTTATTGTTGTTTGTCTTCATAATAGCTGCCATTCTGACTGGGGTGAGATGAAATCTTAGAGTGGTTTTGATTTGCATTCTCTATTGCTAGAGATGATGAATTTTTAAAAATATATTTGTTGATTGATTGTATATCCTCTTCTGAGTACTGTCTGTTCAGGTCCTTGGCCCATTTTTTGATTAGGTTATTTATTATTGTTATTATTATTTTGTGTTTAGCTTTTTGAGTTCTTTATATAACCTAGAGATTAATGCTCTATCTGATTGTGAGGGGTAAAAATTTGCTCCCAAGATGTAGGCTCTCTATTCGCCTCACAAATGTTTCGGAAGAATGTTTTCTCTGATATAAGGTGATTGACTCATAGTGGGGTAGGGAGGGGGAACATGGGAGGAATAGACAAATTCTAGATAGAGCAGAGGGGTGGGAGGGGAAGGGAGGGGGCAGGGGGTTATCGAGGATGGTGGAATGTGATGGACATCATTATCCAAAGTACCTGGGTGGGAAACAGGCGTGACCACAAATAAACTTGAGAAAAATTTATTACAAAAGGAATCAGGGTAGTGGTAACATGGATGTACATTGGACTATATTGTAGAGCCATGTACTAAACCATGCACACATTACTATTTGTAAATTGCACATTAATTAGAAGTGAAAAAAGAAATGACAAGTGACACAAATAAATATGGGTACACTCAAAATATCCAGCTGAGTCCCAACAGGAAGTGTAATTGCTTCTTCCTGAGGACAGTGGGATGAGGATGCCTCCTGGGGAGCACCCCCAGGGGGCTCAGATCTCTGTAATTCCCCCCTGGGTCAGGAGCATTGCCCTCTGAAGTCCAGCAGGAATCCTGGTGATTTTATTTTAAAAGGACCAGACTGCACACTGGTCAGCTTTGGTCATCACTTATTCATATGAATGTTAATATTTATTAGTGCAGGCAGGTCTTCTTTTGACCTGAAGATTCAGTGGGAATCTGCCACATCATCAAAGAAAATGTCCAAGATAAAAATTGCACTGAGTGACCTCAAAATAGCAACCTGTCAGCAAGTTGTTTTGTGTCCTTTCCTTTATTTGCTACTTACAAACACAACTCTGTGGACTATGTGGGAAATGTCATTTTAAAATCTTTATTTTACAAATAAGGAGAAAGCAATTGAGTCCTCTAAGAACACACAGAGAATGTGTGGCAAATCGATGGCCTGAAACCATACATATGTCTTTTTCCTGTTTTTTTTTTTTTTTTTTTTTTTTTGTGTGTGTGTGTGTGTGTGTGGTGCTGAGGATTGCTATTTGCAATAGAGCTTCTCCAACA